TTTGTGGTCTGTTATTTGCCTTACTTTATCAGTGTGGTCGTCATTGAAAGCAACGGACCGAATATCGCTTACTCTCATTTACCTTAACTCATCTTTAAACCCAGTAATTTACTGTTGCAAGATGAGACACATTCGACACACTATCATGGACATACTGCGGAACATGCCTTGGCTCAGAAATCGCGCATCACATTTATCTTAGGGTCGGCAGTCTTATGGCTTATGCCTTTTGTGTTTAACATTAACTACGAGCAGTCTAACTTAGCTGCCTGAAGACAAACGAGATCGTGTTAAACTGACTCAAAGTGTTTTAACACTATTAATATAGTTGTTCAGCACATATTCCGCGGTGTCTTTTTTTGGTGTTTTAGAAAAAAATTTATTTATCAATGAATTTATTTGATCTTGTCACCATTGTTCGCTCCTACTTGTGGAGCCGGCAACGGAATAAATAATTGATTACTTCATATGCAATAGTCGGTTTTGCGTAGAGCATTACATAGGAGTATAAGTGTATAAGGTATTGATATAGCTCGGTAATTTCTGACACAGTTGCGTTCTATGGTAGTTTTATGCTTTAAGCAAGGATTAGTGGTAATAGCCTTGAATAAATTTTATCACAGATCAGAATATTGATGGATACGTTGCTACATTGTTTTAAGAAATAGCAGTTCTACTGGCCGTATTGTTGTCTCTCTCATTTGCATAACAGAAACTTGAGGTTAACAGCAGATGAAATTGGTAGCAGTTTGCAGGTGTATAATGAATTAATTTTCTTAGTGTGGAAAAGAAACTTCGATCGATGTCATGAAGAAATGATCTTGTGAATTACGACTTTTTAACGTCATTTCCGTGTTGTTTTACCTTCAGGGCAATATTAATTAAGTATGGGAAATTTTCATATCTACGTGCCAAGTTTACTTATTTGCGATCAAGCATGTTGCTAAGGGTCTTCGTTGGATGAAATCCCTTACGATGTCTAATTCACCACGTCTAAAATGTCCGATTTCGAGCCAGTTTTCCTTATGTTTTACACGGCTTCTTTAATAAACCCGG